AGACGACGATTCAGTCGAAACGTTGACCAATAAAGCGGTTTAGCCATCACAAACCTATACGGCAAAGCAGTATTAAACATTATGTAAAATGCCCAGGTTTCAAGAAGACCGAACATGGAAGTAGTTTCTAGTTCAATCTGTCGTTATGCCGACAAAACAAAACGAATCGTTCTGATAAGGAGGAAGTTAAGATTCAAGGCTTACGAGGAACGTTATATCCGTTCGTATAGCGCAGTGTGTGCCTTTGAACGCTGATCTCAAATCTGCATTCCGGAGCTGCGAAGGATTCCGAGAACAAAGTTAAAAAGCGCCTGTCGTTCGTGATATATGGTTCCGGCGAGCGGAGTTAGCAAGTCGAACGAAACGCCGTTGTTGTACAACGACACCGTGACTGATAAGGTTATGGAATCAGGGCTGTGGGGGTGGTTCACCAATTTTTTTTGGAAAATGTCTGCTAAACAGGTCAACGTCTCACATTGACTCCCCTCGCCCCACTGCTCTAGCAGTTTGTCTTTAACAGCCCCCACTAGCACTTGAAGGCACAAACCACGATAATTTATGAGTATCTAATTTTGGACGAATAGTGGAAGTGATAGTGTGGAGTAGTGCAAAAGTGGCAAAGAAAACGCGAACATCAGCGTATTCAGAATAATGAAGGGATTAAAAAAGAAGTGAGCTAGGAATTCAAAGAGAATGTGTTGACAAGAGTTGCTTAAAATGGGTATTTTACGGGCTGTCCAAATCTGTGGTCCATAGTGTACAGCTGGCTCCAGTAAACTGCTTGCGTGCAACGTGTGCGTCCCGGTCCGAATGGTGCAACCTCTACAGCCTCCGGAGGGCAGTGATAATTCGTCTGCCTTGGGTGTGTGGGTCGGCTAAGCCAGTTTTGAGCCATTATTATGCCCTGTCTAAGCTGTTTTTCACCCGATACTTACCATCCAGTGTTTCTTGAATGTTCTTTGGTGTTCTGGTGTTGGCGGTGGCAACGGTTCCAGCTTATCCTTGATGAAAACCTCGCATTATTGGAAAAGTGGGATAAAGATTACGAAGAAAAAGGTAGTTCCCAATTTTATAATGTCGATTTTGTAGTTTTTACTGTGGCACTGACAGTGTGGGTCATTTATCATTCGTGTTCAGAACAAGTGTAAGACACTTCCATGTGGTACGTCAACGGTTCGAATAATGTGTGTAATAAGTCTCTTAGCTAATTATTCGCTTCTTCCAGTATGCACTCTGATAAGATGATCATTTACTTCTTTCTATTTCTATGTGAGGGGGAGCAATCGAAGTTTTCGTAATCCCATTTCGAGTTTTTGGAATGGGATTCCGAAAAACGGGAAGAAACCAAAGAGCCAACCTTCATGTCTCGACTGTGACATTACCGTCATACGAGCTACGCCAATGTTGCACACCAATGAGTGCTCGAAATGTGATTCGTGCGTCAGTATCGCAAGCGAATCGTTATATAACTTCGGGATGCAGATATGGGATCAGCATTTTAAGTCCCCTACTGCAGTATATAACTTAGCTTGAATCGCCTTTGAAACTTTGCCTTCTCTTGTGAGTCCTGCGTAATTTCGAGATAACCTACGAGTTTGGGTCTTATTCGGGAATATGGACTTCACCAGGAAGAAATTATGGAGTTAATACTGTATCTAAGTGACATAAGCATTGAACTCAAGAGCCATAATAGGCAGTTTAAGAACTAGAAGTATAGCAACACCACATCGTTTGCATATTGGTCAGTATGGGCAGGCACAGAGATCAACTTGAGCATTAGTCTATTAGAATCCATGACATGGATCATTCAACCTTGAAAAAAAAATCAGGCTCCTAATGATCACGAGGAAAATTTCAAAGGGAAAGCCATGCCTTGTCCGCTCAAGTGGTAGATCGAGTCGCAGAGAGTGACTCACTCAATCTTTGCCTCGCCCTCGAGTCGATCAACAAAGGCGACAGATTCAGGCCCTAACCAGAAGTATCAGCCGCTTATTTAGATTGCCTCGTGGCGTCTCCTAGACCATATCAGCTTGTGAATGAGAACCATTGTTTTAGGATGTTGGTGCATCAAAACGAAGAATTGAAGCGACAGCAATTGGCAATTGAGGAGGAACGTGAGAGTATGCAGAGGAGTTTTGATGTGATGGTTTATCGATATGAGACGGGTGACGACGTGGATTCGACAACGCCTGCAGGACAGAAACAGAAACCGTACGTGACTTTACTTTTGATTAGATACTAAAAATCAGCAGAAAGTTTTTGGTAGTACTTTGATGTCTCGACTTGAAAAGGAGTTCAGTTGTTTAAAGTTCCTCGATTTCGAACTTGCATCGGTGGCAAAAAAGAAGTCAAAACATTTACTGAAGAAATTTTTTGACATGCATGACCCGTAGCCCAACTTTCGAAAGCTTTGGCTCATATCATCCATTCCAACCATGCTCACCCATAAGACACAGTTACGATCAGGGCGAACAGCGGCCGTTCGGAGTCCCGGAGAGTCTTTTTAAGATGCTCCTGGAATCGTTCTTGAGACAATTTCGGCCTTTCCAATAGAATGATGAAGTTTTGTAGACCACTTAAGCCATGAACGTTTGTAAAACCACAAAAGTTCTGGAATAATTTAATGTGATTCTATTTCGAACTTTTTTCAGGAGTAAAGTGCAATTCCGGTCGAGATCGAGTAATTCAGACCGGCCGCAATCGAGCACGAGGTTGTCGCAAGTGTCGTTCAGTGAGTCTTTCTATTACGGGCTAAAGTGGATCAAAGGGAGGAGATAAAGTGGAATATACGTTTTTCCCAAGATAGCGGCATTTACGAATTTCATCAACAATCTTTTGAATGCTCGTACAACCCCTACCTTTCGCAAAAACGAAAGATCCCGACGGAACAGTCCGTTATAAGTGGTTGCTCTGTCCTAACGTTCTCTAGAATGGTACAGTAGAGTCAGAGAAGGAAAGCTCTGCAAATATGGTAGAAGTACAGGCGGCAGGATTGGAACACTGATGATAGGTGTTCGGAATTGAATGAGCTAGACTCCACCTGCGGGTAGGGGAGGATGGAGGGGGAGAAGTAAACGTGAGTGAAATGAATACTATTGTAGTAAAAATTCGAAGTGTTACGTAAACACAAAGGACTTGAGACTATGAAAAGGGTGCAGGGCGAGATAATTTCAACATGAAATGGAGGAGAGCTCGGCGTAAGCCAGGTCATCCGACTGGCTTAAAATTAACGTTGTGGTATATCACGGCGCTTTTTTTCGAAGAGAACAAGTTATTTTGAAATTATTTTGGAACGCTGCTAGTCTTCCATTATGGTATGGTTTAATGGTATGGTAATTCCTTGAAAAAAGATTGGTGCTTGAATATCGGGTATGGGACAAGTTAGAGAGCCATCCAGAAAGTGAGAAGCACACAGCTTACGCTTAAGCACTGTTAAATGTACCCTGAATCTTGGAAATTGGAATACGTTCGAGTTCCAGAGTTGTTATGCGTGAGTGATGCTGGCGCCTTTGCACTTATCAAAACCTTGGTTCCACTTCATCAGCGCTCCTCCTGATTTTTATTCTCATTTTGCAGGTGATATGGATCGTTCGACTGATCGTGACTCGTTGATTCGATCCACGGTGTCTATGTATGCGTCACAAGTACAACTACCTTATAATCATGCCGAGGACGTCATCTATGCTCCAGACGAAATTATTACTGGTAAAAGTGAGTGAATATGATCCCTAATATCAAGAATACTAGAGACCCAATATTTCAACTCGAAGATTCTGTACCATTGCCTAAGACGCAAGCCAGTGACTGACGTGACTTTCGCTGTCACTTTTGTATTTGTGAACCCCATTCTGTAGTGCTTGCAATCAATTCGTATATGTCCTAATATGCAATGTGATGTAGCAGTACTGGATCGCTAGTCGCCTGTTCATGGCACGGCAGTTGGAGGCTCGTCCGAAGCCCTTATATCAATTGTAGGACTGGCTTTCCTCGTGAATGTCGACCTTGTCCCGCGCGCATGGAACTCCTTGAACTCAATTTCGTCGATATGGATGGTGTACCTCTCAGCAAACCTTACAGAGTTAGACTCATTAGCCTCTACATCGCTGTGTCCTGCTGGTTGAAGGCGGATGCGCCTGACGTGGTAGGAAGATGCCATCAGCTCCCAGTCGTTTGTACACGATGAGGCAGAATAGAGAAACACATTTGCTCTGCCAGAAAAGCTTGGTTTAAGCTCGAAACAAGGGCAGTTTGTGTTCCAGCTTAAGGGTTCAATGCTGATGTTGGCTAAACGGCTCAACACGTTGTACGTGTGAGTGCTGATAAGCTTGACATATATATGAGCCATTAAATGTAAATGCAGTCCATAACTGATTGATGCTAACACAAAATAGCTCCGAAGCTAGGTCGGCGTCCCTTTTTCATTTTAGCATTGCCGTTTACAGGACAGCTTTATTATTTCTGAAAACAGGACAGCTTTATTATTTCTGAAACATATCGAAGGGGTGCCCTATTGATAGTTTTCGTGACTGCGGGGCTCTGGTCGAGAAGATATGCATCGGCGGCAGTACCGTGATGGGATTCCTGGTGCCCATCGCACCTGAAGGAAAATCAAGTGCGCCTGCGAGAACTCGCAAATGTAATACTTCAATCCTGACGCGAGAACAAGTTAGGACCGAAGCAATGGCTGGGAGGAGGGCAGAAGCTGTAATTCCAAAAGGACTGACATCCATTGCTGAAGCTGAGACGAGGGTGAATGGCGGACACGTGAAAATGAATGACGTGGTGCAGTGTGAATGTGTGACGATATGTGGGGCGAGCTAATATGCGAAGATTGACCGCATGTAATTAATGGTACTTTATATAACTGGACTAACTGAATACAAAAATAAAAGAACATGGTGATCTATGTGCATAAGTAAANAGAGCTAGGGGTTGCTATATGAAGTGTGCACTAAACTGAATTTTGTTCTACTGTGTAATTGAACTAAGTGTTAAACGTATACTAGAAGAGGAAGGACGATTTGATCAAATGAGATCAGTAGTTTACTACATATAGGAAATGACACTAATCTAATCTGAGGCAAACCCACTGAACTAAATGAGATTAAGATGTACCCAGGGGATAGGATCCTGGCAAGGTTAGGCGAGAGCCAACTGCCAGTCACAACGAGTCAAGATGGAAGAACTGACAGGCATTCGGCGCCATAGCCTCCGCTTAAAGAGGCTTCCACATATTGCGCGCAGTTCAAACTGTGGCGCGTAATTTGAAATGAGCACGTATCGCGGGTTACTCACATCTTTTACTGGCACCGGAGTACGGCGTGGTGTAGTGGGATCGCAAATTGTTGGTGATAGTTGATAATAATGGCTGCTAATAGCAGATAGTACAGCTGGAATGGTGAGAAAAACTGAGGCTGTCATCCTTGTTCAACATGAGAGTTGTGCTATATCATAAGTGCTTTGCGATAGTGTCTGAAGACCTATTAAGACCCTATGCTAGACAGCGAGACTTCGTAATAATGACTCCTTACTGCCTTACAGTGTGTTTTGTATTGGGCACAGTGCTTCTTGTGTCAGAATTATGGTTTCCAATTAATTTTTGGAATTCCTTTCTTCAAAAAATCTCTCATCACGAGTACTTAGCTACATATGTATACCTAAAAGGAGGATATGTTTCGGGTTAGCCATGTGTAGATTTTTTTAAAAAGTAGTAAGATCTTCAGACCGGGTGATCTGGTGTTACCACTCATTGGCAAGACTTTGGTAAAGCCAAGATGTAATTGTGATAATGATTGGCTGCTTTCATAGTCCGCCGGCCGGCGTGCCGGCGGAGGCAGTGTTAGGGGGGAGGAGGGAGGCAGACAGTGTAGGGCAAACAGTCCACGCCCCTTCGAAGGTTGTTTGTTTCAACCCCTCGAAGGGGCGTGGACTGTTTGCCTATCTGTGCAGAAGTGTAGACAATGGCAATAAAGGGTATTTCGACGAGAGTTTAGTTGTTGCAATTGCTTGAGGAAATTAGCATGCTACTCAAAAATGTCCTATGGGTGATTTTTGGTGTGAACTGTGCCTTTGAAGCGCAGTTCACGATAAGAATCACTTACGAGATATTCCTCAAGGGTACATCTGTGCCTCCTCGTATATTATATGTGGCGCTGTCAGATCGGAAACAGGGCTAGATAGGGCGATATAAAGATTCACACTTTATCCCGTTCGTATGTCGGGTCTCGAATTTAAACGAGAGGGCATTGTAGAAGCTGTATCAATTACAAGGGAACCTATATAGAAAGTTTGAACAACTTGTCGTGAACTACAGCCACAGTAAAAGGCAGTTCTGGACAGTTTTGCCCTGGTATAGTTAGCTCTTTGCGCAGTTGCAACAACTGAAACCTCTATTCTATGTCACTTGCGTCATGGTAATCTCGTACAAACTCCGTTTTCACTACCTTTGAGGAGGCTTGTTTTATCGACCTTTTCTTGCTTTCCTCACCACCGGTGTACCGTCCCCAAGTGATACTTGTGTTTTTCGGCTGAAAAAGGGTAACTCAGAATTATCGTGAACTGGGACTAGGAAATGAATGATCAATAGAAATTTCAGTGTTAAATCAACGCGATAACACATCCGATTTCTACGTAGTGGATAAAGACCGCAGTGAAAATGGGTGAGTTTTCATTATCGCATTCCTATATGAATCCGAGTATACGGTTCCTGTTTTTTGGTACGAAGCGCATAAATATATCTGAAAACTGTGAAGAAGTGCTGTTCTTTGACTACTTCAGAAATATCCGTCATAATCAAGCGGATTCTGGTATCGAACTATGACGTTCACATACGAGTCATCTGATCTCTTTAACCGATGTACCAATTCGACTTCTGCAATCGTTTCTGTTTTTCTTTTTTATTGTTCCCCTCCAACTAGCCGTTTTGATTTTGCCATATGTATTGAGTACGCATGCGCGTTCATCTGTTTCTTTCACTCGGTTTTCTGCATTAATGACCATTACTGTTTGGTTACTGATCATCCATCAGCTGTTATTGATTAACTGTTCATCGTCAAGGACTTTGCGCGCCGGGGCACGCGCTCATCGGCGGTGCATCGCTTAGTAAAGTGCTTTCGTTTCAGATTGAACTATTTAAGGATAATTCCAAGTATGTTTTGGCGTCGGCAGCTTCTAATGTTAATTTTCTGAAATTCAGAATTATTGATTTTTTGATGGCCATTAATTAATGTGTGTTCAAAGTTTTTATTGAATGGTTGAGTTGTGCGTTTCAGTTTATAGAAATGAGAACATCGATACCGCTAGGTAATCAATGTAAATATAAAGCGCTTTTGTTGGTATGTTTATGATCATCATTACTTCACGGCGTATGGAGAGCGTAAGAGCTGCAGATCACGTCGATTTTTCTGCTTCTCTTTATGTTGACTGTTTTCTGTTAACAAACTGCATTCAATGCAAAACGACTGCATTTATAGTATCGGCGATTCTCCGCGCGTGTCGCGTGCGCGGTGGTGACGGTGCAGCCGCGAATCTATCACCTCGAGGCAGCGAAGCATATGACGTCTCGACTACCCGTCTTACATACGACACCATGAAAAATGACCTTGGGCAAGTTGATGAGAAGAACACCAGGGTGGGTGATGGTTGATGTTGCTCATGGCGGAATTTCCAAGCAAGAAGTAGCGGGTTTGTGGCGTTTACAGTAATCATTTGCTGGAGATTCAAATTTTCCTTATCGCAGCACACTGCATGTCGTCCGGGTGAAATAGCTAGGGTGTGATATCTTCTCCCCGAAAATCGCGACGCGCTCGGAACCCAGTCGAACACAGCCGCGCGCTATGAGTGAAAAGGTCAGAATTTCCAGTGGAACGATACGGCAGTCGCCGCGGATTCNGAGAAGTACTGCCTTTCAGATAACCCGCACCCACGTGGTGTATGGGAAACTGTGAAGTGTGCTTTGTGGTTTGATATACATGGGAACACTGACTTTCTGCTGTATTAGCTAAATTTCAAGCCACGATTTCGTCTAGAAAGGTCAACTGAATGACCAGGAATAGAAGTGATCGTATTGCCCTGCTGGAGGAGGAATGGTTGAGAAGGGAAGAGAAGAGCTTGAGCCCACTTCTAAGCTCTTTACTCATGGGTTATCTTTACTATTAGTAAGAAGAAAAAATAAAAGCACTTTCTAAAATCGGTCAGGACCTTCAAGAGGTTCCAATCTTATCAGGAATCTCGCACAATGTGGAACAAAGTAGTTCAACTTCTCGTGTTTCTAGTTTTTATTAGGAATAGACAAGTGTCGAAAAGTGGTTTTTACTCTGCATCGTGAGACAGAGAAAGTATTATAACACGGTGGTCCACTGTGCAATCAGCTTTCTGTTAGAGCTGTTTGAAGGGTTTTCAAAGCTCTATCTCTTTTGAACACATAACCGCTGTGTAAACGAGCGTTCTCGGAGAAGTCGTGATTCTCGAAATAGTAGAATGTTCCTTTTCTTACAGAAAATATGTGTACTTACAGTCATTTTAGTGCTAGTAATTTGAAAAGATCTGGATTCGATCAGTAATTCAGAGGCGAGGTGGTTCCTATTCCAGACAGTTCTTACGACCCCTGCCGAAAGCTCAAGCTCAGCAATAGTTTCTCCTTCGCTCATTCTCCTTCCATTTCCCCCACTCGATATTTCAAGTCGCCGGGAAACCTATAAAACACCGCAGAGAGATGGGCAACGCGGAATTGGATAAGATTCGAAGGAAGGACTTTCTTCAATGCCGTATTTGACTTTCTTTTTGTATTTTTTATCGCTAACTTCAATC